CCGACCCCGCTGGAACCCTTGACCCGGCTGAGTGAGCACCTGGGCGGACCTCAGATCTTTGTGAAGCGCGACGACTGCACGGGTTTGGGGACCGGCGGTAATAAGACCCGCAAGTTGGAATTCTTGATGGGCGAAGCCCTGGAGTTGGGGGCTGACACGATCATCACCGTGGGTGGTCCGCAGTCGAATCACGCCCGTCAAACGGCCGCGGCGGCGGCGCGGCTTGGACTGGATTGCGTGCTGGTGTTGCCGCACATTTCGAAGTTTAAGAGTGCCACTTACGACACCGGCGGAAACGTGCTGCTCGATCATCTGTTTGGGGCCCAAGTGCATTTGGTGGACGACGAAGAGGCGGCCGCCGAAAAGTTGGGCGAAGTGGTGATGGGGCTACACGGCGAGGAGCGGAAGCCGCACTTCATTCCCGCTGGGGGTTCCACGCCGGTTGGTTCGTTAGGCTACGTGGCCGCGGTGGAGGAATTGCTCGAACAGGCCGACGCGAGGGAGCTGAAGATCGACCACATGTTGGTCACCACCGGAAGCTGCTCGACCCATGCCGGCATTGTGGCGGGGTTGGCCGCGCTGAACCGGCCGGAGAAGGTTCTTGGCGTTTCGGTGTATCTGCCGGGAGATGAACCTCGCACCACCGTGTTGGACAAAGCGAGTGAGACGCTCAAGCTGATGGAGATTGAGGTCGACGATCTCGACTCGCGGGTGGAAGTATCGCCTGACTATCGTGGTGAGGGTTACGGTGAACCAACTCCGGCAATGGTGGAAGCCGTGAAACTGGTGGCCCGACTAGAAGGGTTGCTGCTCGACCCCGTCTATACCGGCAAGACGATGAGCGGGCTGATCGACATGATTCGCCGGGGGCGGTTCAAGCCCAGCGATAACATCGTCTTCTGGCATACCGGCGGCACTCCGGCGTTGTTTCCGTATGGGGATCTGTTCAAGGAGTAAGCACCACTACTGCGGGACTTGCAGAATATCGAGGCGGCTGGGGGCGTCGATGTCGACTTCGCCGGTGGAGGGGCGGTAGCGAATCAGCTTGGCCTCGGTTTCTTGCCAGCGACCGCCGACGTTTTGCCGCAGAAAGAGTTGGGCGTCGTTGCGGGAGTTGCCTTCGAGTGTGAGGGCGTCTTTAGCCTGAGCGTAGGTAATGCGGTGAGCGCGGGCCGTATACAGCAGGGCTTCGACCACGGAGTTGCCCACGGCTTCTAGCTCGACGAACCGCGACTCTCGGTCGATGCCGGGCACTTCGGCCAGGTTGAGTCGATCGCAGGTCATCAGCACGACCGACTCGCCGAGCTGAGCGTTCTCCTCGACGTTGATCGTCGCATCCCACGATGGCACGGGACCGTAGACCGTACGGACTTCGTCGTTGAAAGACATCTGCCGGCGATGCAGATTTCCGGTAATCGAGCGGAGGAACCGCACGTTGAGATAGGTCAGCTCTTCGTTGTTCGCCGGCGGTTGTTGCGGTGCGTTTCGTTGCAGGCCGGCTAGCATGCCGTTGCTTTGAACGCCGCCTCGGCGAACGCTGACTACTTCGCCAGGACCGGTGCATTCGACTTCGCCACATCGCTGATCGAGCAAGACGCGTTTCACCTGCATGGTGGTCACCGAGGCGAGTTGGCCGGTGGGCGTGGTTTCTTTGCTATCGAGCAGCACCCCGCCGCGGCAATCGACGGTGGCGACCTCGGGTTGTTGATCACTTTGGGGGTTGGCGAAGTCGACACGGCGATCGAGACGCACTTGCATCCACTCGGTGGTCAACGATTGTGCATCGGTGCGGGCCACGACTTCTTCGGAAACGATTGCGGCTTGTCCGTCGAAGTCCATCCGCCCGGCCCAGACAACCCGCATGGGTCCTCCGGCGGCCAGCGGTCCGGTTGCAGCGGCTTCATTCGCCCGACCTTCGACCGACATCACGCCGGGCCCGTCGATCCACAGATGGTTCTTCGCGCGGTCGAGTTGGATCTGTCCGCCGTCGAGCCCCATCCCGCCGGCTTCCACGTGGGCCGGTTCGCCGGTGAGCGTGAGCAACGCCTGCGTGGGGTTAGGTTGACGGAGAAAGAGATGATCGCAGGTGACCTTCAGCGGTGGACGTTCGTTCGGGCCCGAGCGGCGTTCAGTGAGGGTTACGTCGCGTTCCACGACCAACTGCGAGAGTGTCGGTTCGCTGCCGCGGAGGAGGACTTCGGCCTGAAGTTTTCCACCGGTCAGATACATTTTGGTCGGCGGGCTTGTTGGCGGCTCTTGAACGGGAAGCTGCTGCATGGGAGCTTGCCGAACCGGCGGTTGCTGCAATGGGGCTTGCAGCGGTGGCTGCTGTTGGACTGGTGGTTGCTGAAAGGGTTGTTGTTGTTGGAACGGGGCCTGTTGGAAAGGAAGCCGTTGCACGGGGACTTGCTGTTGCGGGGCGGCGACCGTTTGTTGGCGGAATCCGCCGGCCTGCGGATTGTACGAAGCGAGGATGACGGGCCGCATCGAATGATGGACCGCGCCGGTCATTTGATCGACTTGCGGTTGAGCCTGCGGGAAAGTGTTCACGGTCTTCGGCAGCGGCGGGCCAGTGGCGAACCACATTTCAAGACGCTCGACCGCGGCGTTGAGCTGCGGGGCGTCGATCTGCACGTCGCCAATGGCGAGTAGTTTCTCGGGTTCGAACCGGCCTGAGGCCAACATGCCACCTTGCGGTTGATTGAGCGGCTGGGCGGCGGCGACGATCTGCCCGGTGGGCTGCTTTTCGATGACCCAGGCGTACACTTCCTGCCCATCGAGCGAGCCCATGCCGGGCGCTTCGATGTGGCCGTTGCCTCGCATGGCCATGATGAGCACGTCGGGATGCTCGGGGTCGGGGTAGACGCGAACCTCTTCGGTCCAGTTGGCCAGAATCTGGCGAACATCGGTCTCGGGCAAGTTCGCGCTGAGGTGCCCTTTGCCGTGGGCGTAGAAGTTGCCGAAGGCGCGGCCTTCGAGCATGCGATAGAGAATTTCGGGGGCGACCAGTTCACTTCCATCGTGGCGAATCAACGCACCATTGGCAGCCTGCAGCGTGATGGTCTCGGTCACGAAGTCGTACTGCAGCGATTCGCCCTCGGCGTGTGCGCGGGAAGAGCCGGCATCGAGCACCACATGCGGACCGCGGGCTTCGATACTTTTGGCGACCAACTTCTGCGAGGCGATCGACTTCCCTTCTGCGGCCGGGGTGGGTGCGGCCATAGGAGAGCCGTCGGCCGCCGCGGTGGTGAGGTACAGCAACAGCTCTTCGCAGGTCAGCCGGTCGGGCGGCAGATTGAGGTTCACCCGTTCGACCACCACCCGATCTTCGAACTGAATCAGGTACTCCTTCATGTCGAAGTTGAAGGGGCCCTGGCAGACGATGGTGACGGGCGATTCCGGCTCCGGTTCGGCGGGGTGTGGTTCATCGCCGCTGCCAAAGGCATTGTCGACGGCGATGCTGAGGTGCATCTGCACGTCGCGCAGCAGTGAGAACTTTTCGATGCCGGCCACCTGCGGGCCCTGGCTGGGGGCGTCTTCTTCGCCTTCGCCCTCGAGCATGATGCGGAGTTGGCGTCCGCTACCGTGGTTCTCGCCTAGGCGGAAAGTGACCTCTGCATCAGTGGAGACGAGTTCCTCAGAAAGCTTGACGTCGCGAGTTTCTACCCGCAGGTCGTCGTGGGGGCCGACTTCGCGATTGTCGCTGCGAATCAGCACTTTGCCGGGGATGGCGGCCCCGATGAGTCGGCCGAATTGGGCGCGACGGAGGTCGAGGTCTTCGTCGAATTGGAGTGTGGCGCCGCGTTCGGTTTCGATCACCACGGCGCGGCGTGCGCGTTCCTCGCGGCTCATCTCCGAGTCGGAGGGGTAAAAGACCATCGTGAAGGGCTGCATCTCGATCACGCCGTCGCCGATGTTCTTGTAGGTTTCGAAGAGCAGCTTGCCGCGGCTGGTTTCGATGATCTTGGGGTTCTTGAGTTCCCAGGCCCCTTCGGGGAAGAGCGACTGCATTTCGGCAGCCTGCCGCTCGCGAAACTTTTCGAGATCGATACCGCCGAAGTTGTCACCGCTGCCGTGAAACCGCTTGGCCGCCGGTTCGATGAGCGGTACGGCCAGAACGCGATACGTGCCAAAGGCCGCCAGGACCATTAGCAGGCTCATCACGGAGTACTTAATGCGGGTAATCACAGGTCGGCAATTCTTGCGGGGGTTGGCGAGGTGCCCTGGGTTGGGGCTACTTCGCCGTGGGTCGTGCGGTGGCGGGTAACGCTAGGGGAAAGTCTTTCTAGTTCTGGTAGGTCTTGAGAATGTTGGTCCAATGGCCTTGGTGTTTGAGAATGGTTTCGATGGCTTCGCGAACGGCGCCGCGTCCGCCGGGTATGGTGGTGACGAGGTCGGCGGCTTCGCGGAGTTCTTCGCAGGCGTCGGCCACTGCGATGCCGAGTCCGGCGTGGTTGATCGCTGGCAGGTCGGGTAAGTCGTCGCCGATGTAGGCCACCTGTTCGGGCGAGAGTGAGAACAATTCGCTGATTTCACGTACGGCCGGCAGTTTGTCTGCGACACCTTGCCGGACGAGTTCGATGTCCAGTTCGGCCGCCCGACGTTGGACAATGCCGGAGCTGCGCCCCGTGACGATTCCAAAGCGATGCCCGGCGTGTTGCCAGAGCCGGATGCCGAGCCCGTCGCGGATGTTGAACACTTTGGTTTCGATGCCTTGATTGTCGAACACCACCCCACCGTCGGTCATCACGCCGTCGACATCCGACAGCAGCAGACGAATCGGTTGGCAGCGTTCTTCCAAGTTCATTACGTGTGAACCAATCCTGGGGCGATGATCGAAACCGGGTTCGCTCTATTTCCTACGGCCGGTTGGCGATGGTTGGTTGGGTTGCTTGCAGTGGAGTTTTGAAGTTTCTGTGGGTGCTGGCATCCGGTTGTGCGGGCTGCGTAACGGTGGCAAAGTTCTTCACGCCAGCGGTGCTTGTGCCGGGGTGCGGCGATCAGGCGGCGTCTTCGGACACCAGTCCTACCACGTCGGTGATGTCGATCAGCCCCACCGGGAAGCCGGCGCTGTTGATCACGGGCAATTCGCTCAGCTTGCGCTCGCGGAGGATGTCTACGGCATCGTTGACCAACGAACCGCTGGGCACTGTGCGGGGGTTGGCGGTCATTACTTTTCGCACGGGCTGGTCGAGGGCATCGTCACGACGGGTTTCGAACAATCGGGCCAAGTCGCTGTCGGTGAAGATGCCGGCCAGCCGACCTTCTTGATCGACCAGCAGAATGGCTCCGCTGCGTCGCCCGGGCTGACCGAGCGAGACGAATACCTCACGCACGGTGCGGTTGGCTTTGGCCACGCGGCATTGATCGAGTGGCCGCATGTGATCGTCGACGGTGCTCAGCTTGCGGCCGAGACTTCCGCCGGGATGGAACAGGGCGAAGTCGCTGGAGTCGAACCCCCGGCGGTGGCTAGTTACCAGGGCTAAGGCGTCGCCGAGAGCCAGCATGGCGGTGGTGCTAGTGCTGGGGGCGAGCCCCAAACCGCAGGCTTCGCGCAAGGGGCCGAGTTCTAATACGACGGTGGCTTCGCGCCCCATCGAACTCGACGCGCTGCCGGTCACAGCGATTATCTTTACGTCGATGCGGCGGAGGGCGGGTAGGAGTTGGAGGACTTCTTCGGTTTCCCCGCTGTTGGAGAGCAGCAGCACGACATCGTCGCTATGTACCCGACCGAGGTCGCCGTGTACGGCTTCGCTGGGATGCAGGAAGTGGCTGCGGGTGCCGGTTGAGGCCAACGTGGCGGCGATCTTCTGGCCGATGAGTCCGGCCTTGCCGATGCCGGAGACGATCACACTGCCGCGGCAGTCGTGTAGTAGATCGACGGCCCCGACGAACTCGTTGCCCAAGCGGCTGCCCAATTGGGTGAGGGCTTCGGCCTCGATGCGGATGATCTCCCGCGCGTAGCGGATTTGTTCGAACGGGCTGAAGTCGTCGAGTCGCGTAGCGGCGGTAGCAGACATGGCACAGTCTTCCTTGACCTGTGGGCCCAAGCACCTGGTCGCTGATCCTTAGCGACGTGCGGTTTTCGCTTGGGCACCCTTTCGATTCTGGCGCACTCTCCGCGCGAGAGCGGGGGCGGATTGTAACGCCCTGGGGAGTGAGCGACAACGCGAACGCGGGGAAGGAACGGAAGAACCTGCTCGTTCCAGTCCCTTCGCTAGTGCTGATCGCTGGCGAGATTGACAGCACTGCTGGACAAGCCAGCAGTGGCACCCACGTGGGTTGGCGATTTCCGTTGGGCTTACCAGCAATTTCACTGCTAGCACTGGTCACACTTTGACGATGCGTCCGCTGGCGACTGATTGGCTTTGCTTGTGGCAGAGGATTAGGGCGTCGCGGGCGAGTTCGCCGCCGAGGATTTCGGAATCTTCACCGGTGGTGATTGAGCGGCAGACTTCTTTCAGTTCGGAGACAAACCCGGCGATGGGATCGCCGTCGGGGAGCTTGGGCCGTTGGACTTTGCCTGCAGCGTTGAGCACGGTGAGCGGAGTGCTCTCCACCGTGCCGTCGCTGAGAACGGCCAGGTTGAACAGTAGCGTGGCCTTCTCGAGATGGATCTCGAAGCCGTGCGTGAAGCCGCGTCCCTGCTGTTTGATCACCCCGCAGGACATGGCCACCGTGGGGCCGCCTTCGGGATAGATCCATTGCGACTCCATGTACTCGACCACGTCGTCGTGCATCCGGCCTTGGGCGAAGACCGACTGGGGCATGCCGCAAAGCATGCGGACGAAGTGGGCGTCGTGAATGTTGAGGTCGACCACCGGTCCACCGACGGTGTCGGGGTTGTAGAAGTCTTTGATCCACTGGGGGTCGGAGATCACGCGTTTGAAGTGCCCGCCGAGCATGCGACCGTACTTGCCGGCAACGATGGCCTTGCGAGCGACTTCGTACTCGGGGAAGTACGGCAGCACGTGTGCGATGCAGAGTTTGCGTCCCTTGTTGTTGGCCTTCTTCACCATGCGTGTGGCGGCGGCGGTGGTCAGCGTGATGGGCTTCTCGCACACCACGTGTTTGCCGGCATCGAGGGCGGCGAGGGTGGCCGCTTCGTGCATCGACGGGGGAAGGCAGATATCGATCAGGTCGATCTCGGGGTTGGCCAGCATCTCTTCAAGCGTTTCGTAGGACTGAACGCCCTTGAGGTTCATCTTCGTGCCCGGGGGGCCGAAGTTGCCTTGAATGCCACGCCAGTCGCCGGAGCGTTTCTTCGGGTCGCGGGTGCAGATGGCCGTGACTTTTGCTCCCCGCACCTTTTCGTAGGCCAGGTAGTGGATCATGCCCATGAAACCGATGCCGACGATACCTACGTTGATCATGTCGTGCCTTGTGTCACCAGTTCGCTTGCGTAGTTGTTCGAACGTTCAGGCCCTGGGATCGCTGGGCCGAGGGAAGCGACTAGGCTAACGCAGTTGGTGGTCGTTTGAAAGCGAGGCGGGAGAAATGGCCGGGCAAAAAACTTTCGTAAGATGCCGCGGGCTGGGGGCGTCTGTGTGCTAGACGTGTGATTGTGCTGAGAGTGGATACCGCTCCGAGCACCGCTGGGCGAGCCAGCGGTGGCACCCACGGGTGCGCGGTTCGATTACGGAAACATTCAAAGCACAAAAAACATCGAGCCACTTTTGGGCCGTGTGCCCTTAGATCGGCAGCTTCCCCTGGCGTTATACGTGCCTGCGTCGGAGAAGCTGCCGGTTTTTTTATGCACTGTGGGTACGGGCTCGTTTGCGGGGGAAGATTGCCAGGCATCCGAGGCCGATGGCTGCTAGTGCAAACGTGCCGGGTTCGGGTACCGCGATGTGGACTTCGGCGTTCCAACCCAGGTAGAAGTCATCGAGGCCGGGAACATTTAGCCCGGGAAAAATAACTCCCGGCACGAAGAGATCTGCTTCGGCCACGTCGAGCAGGCCGCCGGGGCCGTTGTCGACATAGCCAAAGAAGCCTTGGTCGGTGTCGCCCCAGTAGGCCGTGTGGGAATTCACGCCGTAGTCGTGTTCGTACAGAATACCGGTCCCTACGAGGTCGGCCAGCGGACCGGTGGCATTCTCCAACACAATCATTCCGGCATCGAAGATCAACGTGGTGTCGTCGTTGAAGATGGTCATGTAGTCGTTCGCGTCGACATCGATGGCGGCCGTAGTCCATTTCATGTGGATATTCTGCAAGGCGAAATCGACCGTACCGAGCGTGCCCAGATCGAACGTGCCGGATATGTCGTCGGGTTCTAGATCAGCATCGACATACTCGATCGAGCCATCGCCCAGGCCGTCGAGAACGACATCAAGCTCGGCCGAACCGTTCAATTCAATTGGGCCAATGGTCCCCAACGGCTGCAGGCCGGGGTCCTCCATCGGGTTTCCAATATAAAAATCGAAGCTGAGGAAGCTCGTCAGGGGATGGTTGGCCGTGGAGAAGGTAGCCGCGTTGGTGGTTGGAATGACTGTCGCCAGCAGGAGCACGGCGAAAAGTAGTGGTCGCACGGGTGGATTGTGCATGGCTTGGACCCGTTTAGGTTCGTGGCGGAGGTGAGCGGGATTGGCGATGGAGTTGGCGTTCATGCGTGGCGCCTTCGCAGAGAGACCAAGAGGAGACTGGCAATGCCGAACGCGGCGAGCGTGAAAGAGCCGGGCTCGGGTGTGGCGACGTAGACGGAGGCTTCGTAGCCGATGAAGAACTGGCCGATGCCTTCGATGTTTTGGAACTCGTAGATGGCCTCGGGGATGATGAGGCTGACTTCGGCGGCATCGATCAAGCCGCCGGGGCCCGAGTCGGCGTTGCCGTGGAAACCGCCGTTAGGATCGTCGCCCCACAGCACGGGCAGCGGTCGGGCGTTGTAGTCGAGATCGAAGATGACGCCGGTGCCCACCAAGTCGGCGAGCGCTCCAGTGGCGTTGTCCAAAACGATGGTCCCGGCGGTCCAGAGGAGCATCACGTCGTTGTCGAGCGGCGCCATGTAGGCGTTATCCTCGACGTCGTAGGCCGCCGTGGCCCAGGAGAAAACGACGTCTTCATAGGCGTAGTCGAGGGTGCCGAGTGGACCAAGGTCGAAAGTGCCCACCAGGTTCTCGGTCATTAGCTCGGAGCCGAGAAACTGAACGGTGCCGTCGCCCATCGCGTCGAGGTTCAGGTCGATCTCCACCATGCCGGTCACTTCGCCGGGACCGACGGAACCCAGCGGTGGTTGTCCTGGGTTGTCGTTCGGGTCCCCCAGGTAGATGTTGAAGCTCATCGAACTGGAGAGTGGATGATTGGCGGTGGTGAACGTAGCGGCCTTCGCCGTTGCAACATTCAGCAAGAACAGTAGTGCGAACGGCAGAGCTAGTGGTCGAAGCTTGAGCATTAAATTAGTTGGTTGAGTTCTAGAATCAGTTGGGGGTGGATGACCGCGAGGATTTGTTAGTTTCGTCTTCTTCGGACGGCGCAAGAGATGACTGCGACTGCGCCGATCGAAGCGAGACTTAGCGTTGCCGGTTCGGGGGTGGCAACGTAGACGGATGCTTCGTAGCCGAGGTAGAACACACCGATGCCTTCAACTTCCTGGAAGGGATGGGCGGACTCGGGGATGATGAGGCTTAGTTCGGCGGCATCAACCAATCCACCCGGACCGGAATCGGCGGTGCCGTGGAAGTAGTCGGGAGGATCTTCGATCCACCGCGCCAGATATGGTCGGAGGGCGTAATCGTAGTCGACGATGGTGCCGGTTCCGATGAAGTCTGCCAGCGGTCCGGTGGCGTTTCCGACGATAATCGTTCCGCTCGTCCACCTGAGCATGACATCGGTGTCGAGCGGGGCCGTGTATTCACCATCGATTACGTCATATTCTGCCGTGGCCCAAGAGAAGACCACATCTTCGTAGATGTAGTCCAGGGTTCCCAGCGGTCCGAGATCGAACGTCCCGGTAAGGTCCTCGGACACGATTACCGAGCCGAGAAATTGAACCGTTCCGTTGCCCGTCTCGTCGACGTTGAGATCGACTTCGACCATGCCCGTGAGTTCGCCGGGGCCGACCGTGCCCAGGGGAGCTTGCCCGGGGTTCTCATTCGGATTGCCCAGGTAGACGTTGAAGCTCATCGAACTGGAAAGTGGGTGATTGGCGGTGGTGAACATCTCGGCCGAAGCGGTGGTGGTCATCAGTACGATGAACAACGCAACGATCGGTGGGATGAAACGGAACTGGGAGGTTTGCATTCGTTGCCCCTGAATCGAGACGGGTGTTTCTTGTTGAGTTCTAGGCGAGTGGCGACGGACTCATTTCTGCCGGTGACGGCGCCACGTGATGCCGACGAGCCCGACTAGGCCGAGTGCGGCCAGGGAAAGCGAACTGGGCTCTGGCGTGGCTACGTAGACTTCGCCGGAGAGGTTGAGAAAGATTTGCCCAATTTCAGGCACATTGATGATGGGAAACCCGACGCCGGGAATCAGCATGCTGAACTCAGCGGCCTCGGTCAGTCCTCCTGCGCCGGTGTCCACGATTCCACTAAAGCCAGCATTAGCGGTGTTGTTCCACTCGGCCACAACGGGGCTGACATCGTAGTTGCGTTCGAAGAGCGTGCCCGTGCCTACCAAGTCGGCCAGCGGCCCCATGGCGTTGTTCACCAGAATTGTTCCGGAGAAGAACGTGAGGTCTACGTCGTCGTCGAACGGCGCCTGATACGCGCCGGCGACTACATTGATGGGCGCCGTTTCAAACGTCAAGGTGACACCCTGGAAGGTGTAATCAAGCGAGCCCAATGCACCTAGGTCGAAGGTTCCGTTGAAACTTTCGATCTCCAACGCGCTGCCCTGGAGTTGAACGGTGCCGTCGCCCATTGCGTCGAGGTTGGTTTCAATCTCGACCGTGCCTGTCAACTCGCCGGGCCCGATTGATCCCACCAAAGTTGGCAGCGGGTCTAACATCCCTACGTAAATTTCGACAAGCAAATTGCTCTCGAGGGGATGCGCGGCAGTTGAAAACGTGGCGGCTGTGGCGGGAGCAGAGACGGCCCCGGTAACAACTAGCGCCGCAAAAAGAAAAAGCCCTCTTGGGAAAACGAACATCTGAGACCTCAACAGGAATGAATGCTATGAGTCGAACTGGAGTTGGGAAGAAAAGTCAGTTCGAAGTCAGTAGCGTTGGTCCTGTTGAGAGAATGTTGTTTTCTGCTGGCGGGGCTGAAGTGTGCCTATTCTCTGTGTCTGGAGGAGGTTTTGCAAGAAATACGTCGCATGATTTGGACAATTAATGCCACTGGTTGGCCGGAGGCTTTTCGGCTCCTTGAAGGTTTGGGCGGCCAGAGGGATACTGGAGACTTACCCTAAGTGCCGAATATGTCGCGGGTTGTTGGTTGTCCCCCCTCTTGTGGCCCGCTCTCGGTGGACGAATTTGTACGGTTAACCGCATGCCCTCCCCTGCTCCTTTGCAAGAAAGTTCGACCTCGTCTTGGACCGCCACGCTCGATCGAGCGGTTGATGATTGCCTCGAAGATTTGGTAGCCGTGCGACGCTATTTGCACGTGCACCCCGAGCCCAGCGGTCACGAAGAGCGGACCATCGCCTATCTGTCTGAACGACTCGTGGAAGCGGGGTTCGATCCGAAGTTGGCCTCCCATCAACGTGGAACCACCGTGGATAGCCCTGCCGGCGGTGAGGGACCTCGCGTGGCGTTGCGAGCGGATGTTGATGCGCTGAAGATTCACGACGCGAAAAGTGTTGAGTACCGCAGCCAGGTGACCGGGGTGATGCACGCCTGTGGGCACGACGCGCATCCGGCCATTGTGTTGGGGGCGATGCGAGCACTGCGAGCCATGGAAGAGTCGGGCTCGCTACCGTGGCCCGTGCGTTGGCGGGCGATCTTTCAGCCGGCCGAGGAAACGAGCACCGGCGCGAACGACATGATCGCCGATGGTGCGCTGGAGGGAATCGATGCCATCTTCGCGCTGCATGTCGATCCCTCGCGCGAGCTGGGCAAGATTGGCACCCGCGTTGGCCCGCTGACTTCGATCACCGACGAACTCAACATTGTGATTCAAGGCCGGGGTGGTCATGCCGCGCGTCCGCACGAATCGCAAGACCCAATTGCGGCGGCCGCCCAGTTGATCAGTTCGCTTTATTTGTTTGTTCCGCGAGGGACCGATAGCCACGACCCGGTGGTGGTGACCATTGGGCAGATTATTGGTGGTGAAAGTGCGAATGTGATTCCGGAGATGGTCGAACTACGAGGAACGCTACGCACCTTGACGCCGAAAGTGCAGGAGCGGACCCAATCTCACATCCGTCAGCTTGCCCGGGGGCTGGCGGAGTCGTCGGGGACGAAGATTCGCGTGGAGTTCATCACCGGTTGTGGTTCGGTGAATAACGATCCGAAGCTAACCGCGATGGTGCGTCGAGCCGGCGCCGACTTGTTGGGCGAGGAAAACGTGGAAGACATCGAGCGCCCCAGCATGGGTGCCGAAGATTTTGCTCAGTATCTTTTGCACGTTCCTGGTACGATGTTTCGACTTGGGGTGACCTCGAAGGATGTGGGGGGAGCACCGTTGCATTCTCCGCTGTTTGATATCGACGAGAGTGCCCTGGCGGTGGGCGCGAAGATTCTGGCCCGATCGGTTGTGATGTGGTTCGATCCGGCACGGTAGCAGAATGGAAACAGCATGAGCACCATCTCGTTTGAGTCGAGTTCGGAACCGACGCTGGGTGTGGAAATCGAACTGGCCCTGGTCGACGAGAAGACCATGGGGCTGTCGAGTTCGATCGAACGCGTGTTGGCCGCGTTGCCAGAGGAATACCGCAGCAGCGTGAAGCCCGAGTTGATGCAGTGCTACCTGGAGATCAACACGGGGGTTTGCCATACGGTGGCCGAAGCGGAAGCGGACCTTCGCGAGAAGATCATGGCCGTGGAGTCGGTCGTCGATCAACTGGGGCTGCGGTTGTACTGGACCGCCACGCACCCGTTTTCTCGCTGGCAAGATCAGAGCGTGACGCCCGATGCGCGTTATGAACGGCTGCTGGGCATTCTGCAGGACATGGGTCGGCAGTTGGTCACCTTCGGGCTGCATGTGCATGTGGGGGTCGACTCGGGCGACAAGGCGGTGATGATTTGCGACCGCATGATGCGGCACCTGCCGACGCTGTTGGCGGTGAGTTGCAACAGCCCCTGGTGGAACAATCGAGTCTCGGGCATTCTTTCGCACCGTTCCAAAATCATGGAAGGGCTGCCCACCGCGGGGTTGCCTAGCCTGATGCGGAACTGGAGCGAGTATGTGTGGCTGGTGAATCACTTGATCGACACCGGCTTCATTAACTCGATCCGCGACATCTGGTGGGATATTCGGCCGCACCATAACTTCGGTACGGTGGAAGTTCGCGTGTGTGACATGCCAGGCAACTTGAACGACACGATGACGATCGTCGCGTTGGTCCACTGCCTGGTGCGGGCTTTGTCCAACGATATCGACCAAGGGGCTTACCAACACGATTGCCACCCGATGATGGTGCGGCAGAATAAGTGGCGGGCGGCCCGGTATGGTATCGACGCCCAACTAGTCGAGTCGTTCACACACGAGCTGACCTCGGCTCGATCGACAATCACGCAGTTGGCCGAACGCCTGCGACCCACGGGCGAGCAACTGGAATGCACGGAGTATCTCGACCGTGTCGGCGACCTGGCCCAATCGCCGTGTTGGGCCTCGAAGCAGCTCAAGTGGTTGGATGAAACGCGCGACCCGGCCGCCGTGATTCGCAAGATGACCGAACAGTCGCGGCTTTCGCCCGCAAAGGACGAGAGCTAGAGGGTCGGCAGTAGATCGGTTTGCGAACGCGGAACTACGAGCGTTCAATTCTTCACTGTAGAAGTGCACTGTGAGAGAACTTTGAAGATTTTGTTTCTGCATGGAATGGAAGCGCGACCGGGCGGGTTCAAGCCGCAGTTTCTCACAGAGAACGGTTACGACGTGCTGAACCCGGCATTGCCGGACGAGAGCCTGACGGACTCAATCAGCATTGCCCAGAATGCGTTCGACCTGAACCGGCCGACAGTGGTGGTGGGGTCGAGTCGTGGAGCGGCCGTAGCGATGGCCCTCGACTCGGGCGATGCGCGGCTGGTGTTGATCGCGCCCGCGTGGCGGTTTTGTGGAGTCGACCCAGTGGTGAAACCGCAGACCACGATTCTGCATTCACCCCACGACGAGTTAATTCCCGTTGCTGACAGCCGGCACCTGGTGCAAGAGAACCGGCTTTCGCTCGATGCCCTGATTGAGGTGGGGGAGAATCATCGCATGAACGATGAGGCGGCGCTGAACGCATTGCTGCAGGCAATTCGAGGACCGATTCGGATTGCCGAAGGGACGTGAGGTATCCGAACACTCGGGGCATTCACCCGGGTGGTCCAGCCGCGCCGGCTGGATCGCCGTTGGCGACAAGATGATTTGAGGATCGTAGTACTCGACCCGTTAGCGTGACATCAACGAAACGTAGAATTCCTGACGATTCCGAATGAGCTTCTGAAATCTATCGTCCCCGGCGTTGAGACTCTTACTTTAGGCATCTTGTCGGCTGCGCCGATCCAGCCGGCGCGGCTGGACCACCCGTGTTGCGACACTGTTGCCGTATTACGCCTTCAGCTGCCAGCCGTCGGGGAGTTCGGTTTCGCGGGGGATGACGATGATGCCGTCGCGGATCATGCACTGGGGAGACTCTTCCGAAGTCTCGATGTTGCCGGGGTTGGTGATTTGCACACCGCGTCCGATGCGGGCGTTCTTGTCGATGATCGCGCCGTCGATCACCGTGTTGGGCCCGATTCCTAGTGGGAGGCGTTGCTGGCTTACGTTGGAGGCTGAAGACTCGACTCCTTCGTAGAAGTCGGCACCCATGATGACCGAATTGCGGATTTGCACGCCTTCGCCGATTCGGCACCGCAGCCCGATGATGCTGTTTTCGATAACCGCTCCCGATTCGATCTGGCAGCCGTCGGCGATGAGGCTGTTGTTGATCGTCGCGCCGTCCACGCGTGTGGGCGGCAGGAAACGGGCGCGGGTGTAGATGGGGAAGTCGCCCGAGGAGATTTCGAACGGCGGATTTTTCGAGGCCAACTCCAAGTTCGCGTGGAAGAAGGAGCAGATCGTTCCGATGTCTTCCCAGTACCCGTCGAACAGATGGCAGTGCACCTTTCGCGAGCGGATCGAGGCCGGGAACACTTCTTTGCCGAAGTCGCGATACTCGGTTTTTTTCAGGGCATCGACCAGCACCTGACGGTTAAAGAGATAGATGCCCATGCTGGCCAGGCAGTCGCGGCCGCGGCTTTCGATCCCGCGGGCGTCGATCCAAGCCGGATCGGTGCGGACGATGTCCAACTCTTCGGCGGTCTGTGGTTTTTCCAGAAAACCCTGCACGCGTCCGGAATCGTCGACCCGCATGACGCCCAGGGCCGAAGCCATCTCTCGCTGCACCGGCAAGGCGGCAATGGTGACGTCGGCCCCCGACTCGCGATGCGTCTCCATCATTTTACGGAAGTCCATCCGGTAGAGCTGGTCGCCGGAGAGGATCAGTACCAGGTCGCAATCGCGATCTTCGATGTAGCGCAAGTTCTGCCGCACGGCGTCGGCGGTGCCTTGGTACCAGTCGGAGCTGTCTAAGGTTTGCTGGGCGGCGAGCACTTCGACGAAGCCGCGACTGAAGGCGTCGAAGCTGTATGTGCTGCGGATGTGTTGGTGCAGGCTGGCTGAGTTGAACTGCGTGAGGACGTAGATGCGGTTCAGGCCGCTGTTGATGCAGTTGGACAGAGGGATGTCGATCAAGCGGTACTTCCCCGCCAGTGGAACCGCCGGCTTCGACCGCAATTTGGTCAGCGGATAAAGGCGACTTCCCTGTCCACCACCGAGTACCAGCGTGATCACCTTCTTCATACTTTCCCCCAAGTCCTTTCTGCAGGCAGTTGGAATCAACTAGAGCCGCATTGTACCGCACGCGAGGGATGAGATCACAGCCCCTAATGTTGCTTAAGACGAATCTAGGCCGGCAGATGATAGAAGAGGATGCCGAGCATGGCATAGACTGTGACCAAGAGCACACCTTCGAGCCAGTTGCTTTCGCCGTCTCCGGCGATTTGCGAGGTGACCACCACCGCGATGCCCATGGCGATGAGTTCGGGCACGGTGAAGACCAGATCCATCTGAACGCCCAGTGCCATGCTCAACAATACGAGTACGGGTGCGACAAACAGGGCAATCTGTATCGATGATCCGATGGCGATCGACAGGCTGAGGTCCATGCGGTTTCGCAATGCCACGAGCACGGCCGTGCTGTGTTCGGCCGCGTTGCCGACGATGGCCACCACGATGACACCGACGAACAGTTCGGTGAGGCCGACGGCTTCGCTGGCCACGGTGACCGAACCGATCATCAACTCGGCCAGCAAGGCAACGCCGACGGTGGCCGCCAGCAGAACGCCGATCCCCTTCTTGATGCTCCACGGTTCGTGGGCTTCTTCGGTTTCTTTACGCGTGGGCTTGGCGGCGCCGATTCGTGTCGAAGACTTCGTGGGCTCTTCGGGTTCTTCATCGCTTTCGTACAAATGCGGATGCGTGCTAAGCGTGAAGAACAGGCTTAAGGCGTAAACCACCAAGAGCAGGATCGAGATTTCGACGCTGACATCGTTCACGCGGGACTGTTCGTCGTGCACCAGGTAAACGAACATGGCCGGGATGACCATGGCGGATACGGCCAGCGTGAGCAGGGTGGCACTGGTACGTGTGCCTGCGGGGTTGAAGCGCTGGATGCTGAACCGCATGCCGCCGGCGAGCATGGCCACGCCCATCACGAGCAAGATGTTGCCGATGATGGAGCCTGTGAGCGAGGCTTTTACCAGCGAGTGCATGGCCTCCATCACTTCGGGGTTCCGCCGGGCTTCGATCAGTGCCATCACAGCGATGATCAACTCGGCGGCGTTGCCGAAGGTGGCGTTCAGCAGCCCACCGACGCCTTCGCCCAGATGTTCGGCCAAGTGCTCGGTGGCGCGGCCCATCCAACCCGCCATGGGGATGATGGCGATGGCCGAGGCGATGAAGATCCACGTCGGCGTGGCCCATTCGATGTGCCGCATATGGGCGACTTCTAAAACGATCGCCACAGGCAAGAACAATAGCAGCCAGTTCAAACCACCGCTAAGGAAGCGTTTCAAGTGAGCACCACTGAATCTGTGAGAGGAGCGCGAAGTGGACTTCGGTTGACGCACCACACTATCGAAAGACGCTGAGACTGGCAACTTGATGAGTGACCAAACGGATTCGACGCCAGTTAACCGTAGTTCAACCGCTTGGGTGTTTCGCGGTGGATCGGGACATCGATCAGGCGGGGCTTATCGCCGGCTAGTGATTCGGCCACGGCGTCACTCAGTTCGTCGGGCTGTTCGATACGCACTGCCTCGACGCCGAGGGACTTGGCCAGCGAGACCAGGTCGACCTCGGGCCCTTTCAAATCGAGCCCTATATATTCGCCGGCCTGGGCATGCGGGAGGCCCATGCCTTGAGCGCCGACTTTCAGAATCTGGTACTGCGCGTTGTTGCAGATGACGAACGTGGCTGGGATTTTGTACTTGGCGGCCGTCCATAAACCTTGCACACCGTACATCGTGGCGCCCTCGCCCAAGATGCCGAGCACGGGTCGCTCGGGCCAGGCCAATTGAACGCCGAGCGTGCAACCGAGCCCCCAGCCCAACGCCCAACCGCGGTGGCCGAAGTAGCCGGTAGTGTTTTTCAGTGCGCCCAGGCGTTCGAGAATGGTGTTCGTTGTGGTGACCGCTTCTTCGATCACGGCGACATTCTCGGGAATGACGCGGGCGATGCTGTCCATTAAGGTCAACGGGGTTATGGGGCGGGCGTCGCGTTGTTGTTCGATTTGCTGACGCAGTTGCTCGCGGGCTTTTTCGTGCGTGGCGATGCGTTCCGCGCGGCGGCGGGAGGCCTGCCCCTTTTGATCGGAGGTCATCTCACTGGCCAGCAGCGAACCCAACTCGGCGAGGCTGGGCTTCAAGTGGCCGATCACGCCGACTTCCAACGGGTAATTCTTGCCGAGTTGCCAAGGATCTTGATCGATTTGCACCAACCGCAGGTGCTCGGGCATCGCTCGGGCCGGCTCGTGGTAGACGTACTCGCGAAGCATATCGAGGCCGGCGACGAACAGCACGTCGAACTCGGCCAGCCGGTCGCGTACTTCCGGCGACCACAGCGGTAGCCCCTGGGCTGTGAGTGGGTGATCGGCCGGGAAACTCAAACGCCCGTGCGTGGTGCCGGGCTCGGAGATGACGGGAGCGCCTAACGCGTCGGCCACCTTCACCATTTCGTCGACGGCATCGCACTCGCGGACGCGGCTGCCCACCAAAATGCCGGGGTTCTTTGCGCCGGCCAGCACCTCGGCGGCCCGACGGATTGCTTCCACCGGCGGGCGAACTTGAGGGTTGGGAAGCGAGGGGGCCGCGAGTTCGATCTCGGGCAGTTCGGCCACTTCGGCCTGAATGTCGACGGGGATTGAAAGGAACACCGGACCGGTGGGCGGAGTGAGGGCGGTTTGCACCGCGCGACGAATCGCCGAGGGAAGGTCTTCGATGCGGTGTACTTCGGCCGACCACTTGGTCCACGGGCGGGCCACGTCGACCATGTCGCCGCCGAGGATGGGCTCTTGGAACATCAGCCGGCGATCTTGCTGCCCGGCGGTGACCAGCAATGGGGTGCCTGCGCGATAGGCGTTGTAGAGAATGCCCATCGCGTGACCGAGACCACAGCTAATGTGCAGGTTCACGAAGCCGATTCCACGGGAAGCCTGAGCGTAGCCGTCGGCCATAGCCATTACGGGCACTTCTTGCAGGCCGAGGATGTACTCGATCCGCTGCTCGTCGACCATGGCGTCCATCAGCGGCAGCTCGGTCGTGCCGGGGTTTCCGAACAAGTAGCGGACCCCCGCTTCGGCCAACAGGTCGAGCATGATGTGACTGCCGGACTTGGGCATGAGAGTTTCCCCCATCAGAGCCTTCAGCGAAAGCGAAAGCCGCAGTACAAGCGAGCCGTGGAATGACGCCCCGAGTGTACGCAATGCGGGAGGCGAATCAATGTGCTGGGTTTTCGGCCGGGGTTCGAGGTGGGGTTCATGAAGGGTGGCACCGGATCTTGATCCGGTGAGGCGAAGCCTTTGGAGGTTTTTGGAGTGGTTCGATTTCTGAAGCAACCGCCGCGTTATCAGTTTGGTCTGCTTGCAGGTGAGTGTGGCTCGTTTGTGGAGGCCGGGTCACACTCGGTTGGCTTATCTTGGGTTTCTGCGGCGTTCGGCTGTGCTGGAATCAACCAATCATCTCGAGAACCTCTAGCGGCTGCGCTGCGCCGCACCGGATCGAGATCCGGTGGCACCCGGAGAAGGCTCATCGGGCGTGAGAGAGAATCATGGGTGCCACTGCTGGCTTGCCCAGCAGTGCTTTAGTTACCCGTCTAAGGATTCGAGGTACCCGATGAAAATTGAGGTGAGATTAAGCCTTCACCGATTGTTCACAACAAACCGTTACCCGGCACTGCTGGGCAAGCCAGCAGTGGCACCCCCTTTCGTGTTCAGCAGTTCACACAGCGCACGAAAAAACCGCCGCGCGACTACTTTGAGTCGCGCGGCGGCCACGGCTGCTTCGTTACTGCGGCGGGTTTCGCCGGAGTTGATTCGTTGAGTTAACGGTAGGTTCCGCTATGCGGGCGGCGAGATTGCTTTCCGGGTGGAATGCTCTCGGCCGGGGTGGGCTCTTTCTTGTGAGCGGGTCCGTCAGACCAGACCGCGTCGGAAGGTACCCCGTGATGTGGTCCGTAGTTGCTGGGATGGTAATTGCTGGGGCCGTAGCTACCGTGGTAGTCGTGCGGCGGGCCGGTGTACTCGCCGTGACAACCGCAAGGTTCGCAGCAAGCACGATCGCTGGCACAGAGGGCACTGGGGTACGTCTCGCAGCCCCAGCCACCACCGTAGCTGTAGCCGCCGCATCCACCGCAGGAGCCACAGCCGCCGCAGTCGTCGTAGCAGCTACCGCAACCGCCGTAGCATCCGCCGTGACACATGAACAGGCGATCCAACCAACAGCATCCGGTGCTTGTCGTGAAGAGCAAGCACACCAAACTGGCCATGACCAAGCGTTTCATCGTGGCAACCTTCCCCCGAAGTTGTTTGCGTTTTGCGTTCAAGCACCCGTGGCTAACGACGTCCAACGCAGGGCCAATCCCCCGTCGTTGCTATCAGCCCCGGTGCTTGCAAGAGCGATCGCGAGTAGCCGACCGGCTACAAACACAATCAACTCTGCCGGATATATCGGCGCGGGAGGGGCGCAGAATCGAGAAAATCCGTGCAATCGGAAGAATCGATGCAGGTGGATGTTGGGGGGGCTCCAAGAACAGCTGTCAATGGCAACTATTCTGTCTCAGAGACTCTGCAAGACTGATGTCCTTCAACAGCCGGGGTTCTATTGGAAGACACTCGTCTTGTAATTGAGGATCAGGGTGACCGTAGGCTTTTCACGCATCTCTAATGCGATTCGCTTCTCGGTGAGACGTTCAAGCAATTGTGTTTGCCATCGTTCCAATACCGCAATTTCGGATTCCAGGGCTCTCAAGTGTGAAGGCTCTCGATTCTTGTGTAGTCCTTCCGCGATCGCATCCACCTCTTCTGAACGCTCGCTGGACTCGAAGAGTTCGATCTCGGTAACCGCTAACTGTCTTTTTAGATCCACTACTAATCCACCACCAGCCCTGACCTTCGACTCCTCACGGGCTTTGACTAGATCAGCCTCGGCTTGAGCTAGTTCTAACCTTCGTTTTGCGATTAGTTCGTCAGAAGTTGCGATTGGCTTTTCATTTTCTTTCTCTGCGACTTGCTGAGTAAGAGCAACATCTAACGCGGCTTGGCGGTATTCGACGACTACTTCAAGTTTCGCCACAAGTGGATCGTCTGCCAGCGCTTGCTCAATCTCTGCAGTGAGATCAGAAATTTTCTGCGCCAGAGCTCCAACACGAGCTTCAAGTGCTAATACTTCTAGGCGAAGTTCTTGTTTCTTCGCGAACAAATCCCGGCGTACTGTTTCCAAGCTTTTATCATCCAATTGATAGGCGGAAAGAGAAGCCCTCAAGTTAACTGCCGTCGCTTTCTTCCTGTCGATTTCAGCCTTTAAATTTTCAAATTGCTCTGTGAGGTCTCGCAAGTCTTCGTGTTTCGCATCACTAGCATCGATCTCTTCTAGCTCGATACGCAACGACGCAACAAGTGCTTCGAGTAAATCGTGGGCGGCAAACCTGTCGTCTTTCGATACCACCACAATTCTTATAAGCGATCTTATGCTCCCCGGAACAAGGCTCACGTCAATCTCGACTTCACCCTTTGCGAGAGCCTTCTGCAGTTGCTTACCGGGAGAATCATTCTCGGACCGGATAAGCGAGGCGACTACCTCGCGACTGTTAAGCAATGCTGCGATTAGAGCCACATCCTCAAGATCCGATTCCGGATCGCACGTAATCCTCAGATGACCCTCTGCTCTGTCGATCACTGGTTCAGAACTGGTTCCTCCGAATTGGCCCTGGGCGAAGACGAGCTCGCTGCATGTGAGAAAGAGACCACATAGCAAAACAATACTAAATAGTCTTCGCTTCATGTCCGATCTCCCATGTCGTTCCCATCCAACCGTTGGCGCGCTAGCTCGGCGGTCGGTGTGGTAGGGAAGAGTTTGATGATCTGTTGGTAGGTTGATTCAACTTCGGCTTGGCTGTTGGGCTGTTGGCTTAGTCGCTCGGCTCGCATCATCATGGCGAGTGCGGTGCGGTTTTGTTGTTCGTGGATCCAGTCGATGGGGTCGCCTTTGCGGAGTTGCTCGCGGAGTTCGCGTTCGGCCCTTTGTTCGGCCAGCGCGGTTCTGATCATGCGGGCCGCCTGCAGGTGCATTTCGGCTTCGGCGTCGAGCCGCTCGATTTCTGCCACCACTTCTTCGTAACTGCGGGTTGATTGCGACTCGGGCTTCGGTTGGCTTGGCTCTGTTGTGGCGATGCGGTCGGGGACCTGTGGACTGGGGTCTTGGTCGAACTGGCTCCATACGACCAGCGATGTTGTGAGCAGCAAGAGCGCGGAGGTGGCAAACTTCGTGCGGCGGCGACGGGTTCGACGCCTGGCGTATTCACCTCGGACCTGGTCTGCGACGATGGCTGGGGCTTCGCCGAGTGGGGCTTGTTCGTCGGCTCGGTGCAACAGCCTGGCCAGGGTTTGTTCTTCCATGGAATAACTCTCACGCTAATGTCGGCAGTCTCCGCCGGGTGGCCCAGCCGCGCCGGCTGGGTCGCCGCAGGCGACACGATGCCTCTAGTTCGGTTTAAATATCGATTGAGAATGACGCTTGCAGTGCACTCTGGTTGGCGGCAATGCTGTATAAGTTCGGACGACTTTGGGTTCTCTTTGCGAAGAGGCTCTGTTGGGGAAATACAGTTTTGCTTCGATGCAGGTCATCGAGTCTTCGACTCCTCGGTGGCTTAGGGTTCGGCTCATTGCATCTTGTCGCCTGCGGCGACCCAGCCGGAGCGGCTGGGCCACCCAAAGTGGGTTCGGGGTGGTTTACTCATTGCAGATGCTTAAGTCGGGCGGCGAGTTGGCCTCGGGCGCGGGTTAGTCGGACATCGACGGCTCCGCGGGAGAGTTCCAGCAGCTCGGCGACTTCTTCGATGGGGAGTTCTTCCAGGTAACGCAGCACGATTACCTCGCGGTACTTGGCCGGCAGAGCTCGCACGGCGGTGCGAACCTCGGCGGCGGTTTCGTCACGAATTAGCTGGGGTTGCGATGCGGGGGTTTCGGCTTGGCGGTCGAGCAAGGTTCCGCTGACGCTTTGCAGCTTGCGCCGCAACCAAGTGCGCCGCTGCCAAGTGCGGCAGCGATTGATCGTGATGCGGGCTAGCCATGTCCACAGGCTCGAGCGACCTTCGAACGAACTGACTCGATCGAGCACGGTGACGAATACGTCTTGCACCACGTCGTCGGTTGCGTCGGTCCAGCCCAACAGGCGATTGGCGAGCCCCGCCACGCGGAGCTGGTATTGCTCGACCACGAGGTCGAACGCCCGCGGATCGCCGCGTACCAGTTGCGCGACCAGTTCACTCTCGTCGAGTTCTGGCGGCTTTGTCGTCATGCGGTGTTTGTTGACCGTCGTAGTCATCAAGCACCAAGTTAGACGTTTGAGTTGCCGGCGACTTACAAGAATTCTGGAGATTCTTTCACCACCCCCCGGCGGCAGTTATATTGGCGACTCGCGACGTGCTCGCGAAATGTGTCGTAAACCTCGTCTTGTACTCAGATTGGCGGTCTTATCATGTCGCAAGCTCTGCCCTTGGAATCGGTGAATCACATCGCCCGGGCCACCCGCGAACTCGACAAGTTGCAGGAGACAATCGACTTCTATCGCGACGTGTTGGGCTTCCGCGAGATCAAGCGGCCGAACTTCGACTTTCCCGGGGCGTGGCTATATGGCTATGGCGTGCAGATCCACCTGATCATCGACGACGACGCCAACGCTGCCGGAGGGCGGTTAAGCAAACGGGCCGATCATGTGGCGTTTCACACGCCCGACATTGAAGCGGTGGAACGAAGATTGGACGAGCTGGGCATCGAGTACGTGGGCAACACCGTGCCAACCACCGGGGTGAAGCAGTTGTTCTTCCACGACCCTAACGGTTATCACATTGAAGTGGGCACGTACCCGCCGGCGATCGAGAAGACGGATTGAAGCCGCTTACAAACTCCAGCCATCGCGGTACTCGCGGCGGATGAGGGGTTCGGCTTCGGGGCAGTTGGTGGCCACGAGGTTTTCGGCGTCCCACTCCAGGGGCTTTTGACCCACGCGGTACGAGACGTTGCCGAGCAGTGCGGCTTCGGCGAGGGCGCCGGAGTAATCGAAGTTGCAGGTGGTGGGGCCGCGGCTCTTGCAGGCGGCGATCCATTCGGCGTGATGACCGATGGAGTTGGGGATGGGGTCGATCGCCTTCACGTCGGCGGGGCGATCGCCTTCTTCTTGATACAGCTTGTGCGTGCCGTAGTCGGCCAGCAGGCGGCCGTTGGTCCCTTCGAACAATACGGCCGAATTCTTGTTGTATTGCTCGGCCCCCTCGGGTCGCCAAGCGCCGTGGTACCAAGTGAGATGCACGGGGGGCTGATCGCCGCGGGCGGGGAACTTGTATTCGACCTGCATGTTGGCAGGCACTTCGTTGTCGCCGTCGTGGGCTTTCTCGCCGGTGGCCGCCACGCTGGTGGGATATCGCAAGTCGAGAGCCCAGAACGGCAGGTCCATGTAATGGCAACCGAAGTCGGCCAGGGCCCCGCCACCGAAGTCCCACCAATAACGCCAATTGAAATGGAAGTGCGACGGGTGGAACGGCCGCATGGGGGCGGGCCCAACCCACAGGTCGTAAGCGACGCCCTTGGGAGGCGTTCCTTCAGCGACGCGCTGACCGGTCTTCACGGAGCCGCCGAGCCAGACATGCACGCGTTCGACGGGACCGATGGTGCCGGCCTTGATGAGTTCGACAGCGCGGCGGTAGTTGTCGCCGGCGTGGATTTGGGTGCCCATCTGCGTGACGGCATTCTCCCGGGCGGCCCAATCGCGCATCTGGCGTACTTCCCACACGCTGTGGGCCAGGGGTTTTTCGCAATAGACATCGACGCCGGATTCAAGACCTCGCACAACCGGGATGGCGTGGGTGTGATCGGGAGTCGACACCACCAGAGCGTCGAACCCACCATCGTCGATCATGCGGCGGTAGTCGGCATACTGCCGGGCGTTAGGGAACTCGGCCGCGGCTTTGGCCAAGTGGGCTTCGTCGATATCGCAAAGGGCGACGATGGATTCGCTGCTCACGCCTTTCAAATTGGCGTAGGCCCGATTGGCACAGCCGACCACGGCGATGTCGAGCTTCTCGTTGGGCGAAGAGGAACCAGCAGGGGCTTCGTCTGCGAGCAGCTTCGAGCCGAATGGTAAGGCCGTGGTTGCGGTGCCGGCCAACATGGCCCGACGAAGGAATTCACGCCGGCTTTGAATATCGAACATCGCGAGGCTCTCCCCTGGCAAGTTTGGACGTTGTATGCAAACGACCGAGATCGTGTTGCCATGCTAGCCTTGGGCCGGGGGGGACGCAAATGTATGGTCGGATGGGCGAAGCATCTTCGGGTGAGCGCATAAAAAAAGGCCGGCTTCGTGTCCCCTGGGTGAGACTTGAAGCCGGCCTTCCCGCTTGTACGCACGACGTAGCGTAGTGCTGCACCGGAAGTGGTGTCGCGTGACGTGTTGCGGGAGGGTCAGAAAGTGAGTTCGCCGCGGACGGTGAGACCGTCGAACGACATGATGTTGCTGTCGTCGAGCGGGATGAACGAGGCACTAGCGGCTTCGTAGGCACCCAAGTCCCACCAGGTTTGGAAGAGCCAGCCGGCCGAGATGTTCACCCAGCGACTGGGCTGATAGGCCACACCCACTTCGATTTCGGTTACCGGAATCATGCGAGGATGATCGCCATTGGACGTGGTGAGCAGAGTCACACCGTTGTTCTCGGTGAAGCGGTCGATGTTGCGTTCCCAACTACCGAGCAGCAGGGCACCGGAGCCTTTACCGTAGACGTGCCAGCAACCACTGGGGCTGAAGAAGCGACGACCGAGAATTCCCACACGAGGGCCGGCACCGACGAAGCGTCCGTCGACCTGGCCGGTAGATTTTTGTGCACCCGTCGCGTCTAAGATCGTTGTCGAGTATTCGCGATTGATATCCGCACCACGAACACCAAGGGTGAACTCGACGTCCCAGCCCGGGCAAGGCACGAAGCATGGGTTGCAGCAATCGGTGCCGCAGGGAACCTTGTTGAAGGTCACACGCTTCGAGAAGTCCAAGTCGTAGATGTTCACATCGATGTTCGAGTTGGCGGTGATCACATCGCCGGGAGTATCGGCCGCGGTGTCGATGTTATTGACATAGGTCACCGGCGGAATCGTTTGTCCGGCAGGAATATCAGGCACAGGCGGCTGCGTAGGAGCGTTCTGGCTGAAGTTCATGTTCCAGAATGTGAACCGGATTTCGCTTTGGCATTGGTCGAGCCGGAAGCCCAAGTAGCCACGGAACTGACTTTCGTAATCATAGTCAAAGTCGACCGACTGTTCGTGAAACGCGAAGTCGTTGCCGTTCTGACTGGCATCGTTGCGAATGAACGCGGTCGAGTCGCTGAAGTGTGGGCGAATCAACAGGTACTCGCCACCGATGAAGAACGACTTACCCCATCCGCCAATCATATGGCCGGGCCCCGGGCCACAGCCCATATCGCAGGCGCCGGTAGAGCACGAGGACGGGCCGTATGGCACTTCTTCGTACATGCCGCCGTCCTCGTAGATGACTTCGCCGTCATCGTAACGTTCGTAATTGGCGGGCCGTACCGAGCGATCGCTTCCAGAGCGACTCTTGATTGGTGTGTTGTCCCAACCTTGGTTGCGCTGGGAAGACTGAGGCCGCTGCCGCGGCTCTTCTTCGAGATACGTAGCCAGCTCGGCTTCCAGGTCGGAGGCCAGATCGCGGTCGGCCGCTCGCGCACTTCGGCGGGCGTTCGAGTACCGATCTTGACCGCGGCTAGACGATTGGGCCCAGGCATCGCTGCTGGCCCATGTTGAGAGCGCCGCCAAACAGACGACGTACCATCCCCGTGAGAAACGCTTCATCGATATCCCCCCGCCGTGACAACTCGGGCAACATCATGCCCAATAGAACGGCTGCACCCTGTACAAAACCGTCGTGGCCCTGAGTCGCACGGCACTGCTATGCACCGGCACGACCATTACAAGCCACAAACCTTATCGGCGCGGGGCGAATCGATATTTCACGAATTTTTGGCACAACAGGCACAACCCGCAAAGTTCACCACAGCGGTGGGGTCCTCTCTGGTGGAGGTTAACACGCTTAATACTGCTGCCGAGGCGAGGTTACAGCACCCGTTTGGCAAACGGCAGGCGGCGGATAATGAAGTGGGCGACAGCAAAGCAGGTGACGATGCCTGCTAGCGTGGCGATGACGAACTTCACGAACGTCGGTAGTTGCACATGCCCGAGAATAAACTGCCAGGCCACGATCATCGGCGGATGAAACACGTGTACGGCGTACGCGCTGGCGGCGAGCAGGGTGAGTAGTTTGGTCGACCAGTTGAGCTTTTGGTGGAACAACGAGATCAGCCCCACAGCCGCGCCCACACAGAAGAACGATTCCCACACGCTTTTGAAGAAGTTGGGGAACGTGAAACCCGCACTGTGGGCGGCAATCCAGAACTCGGTGGAAAACGGAACCACAAAATTGAACGCGGCCAACCCGACGGCCACGCTGAGCCATAGCCGACCGGTGGAGGCCGGGAGTTGGTTCAGCCAGTCGTAGCGATAGGCGGCCAGCCCAACGAAGAAGAATGGCAACCACTGCGGGAAGTGCGACATATCAATCTGCAGCACCCCGAACAGAGCGTAAACCTTGTTGTAAGGGCAGAAGATCCGCACGGCGAACGTGATCAACGAAATGAACACGGCAAAGCCGAAGATGGCCCAGTTGCCCGGCGGTGGTTTGGGGGTGCGAATCGACTCTCCTGGTTTGCAGAAGAACTTTCGCCAGATGCCATAGCACAAGGCGTAGACCAGCAGGTGCTCGATGTACCACAAGTGCGAAAGGTTGCGGTCGGGCCAGCCGGGGCCGTTCCAACCCTCGGGCATCTCGCCCATGCCGTGCCACGCCTGCCAGTAGTATTGCCAAAAGGAGTCGTACCCGGTGTAGCCCCAGTGTTGGTGGAACGAGTAGTACTGCAACAACGGCAGCATGATCATTCCGCCGATGACTAAAGGGATCCCCAAGCGGATGAACTTCTCGCGGACGTAAATCCAAAACGGGCGGCGGTCGTACGACGGTGGCACCAGGTAGCCGGAGAAGATCAACAAGATGGCCATCGTAAAGCTCGGGTTGAGCATGATGACCCGGGCGACCATCCCGCTGATTTGCGAAGGGTCGGTCTTGTAGTACCAGAAATCGTTGCTCGCGTAAGGGTTGCCTGCGTGGTGCGACAACACGCACATGATGATGAACACCCGCAGGTTGTCCACGAAGAACAGCCGCCTCGACTCGGGCAGCGGGACAGCCTCGACCGCTTCCGGGGCGTCTTGGTGCTCAACTGTGGGTGTGGACATAGAGACCGGAGGCGTCGAAGAGGGTCGAGAGCGAAGTACCAGCAAGTCGCAAATCCAATGTAGGCCAACGCTGGGCCAGAGACAACGAAAAGCCACCCCATGCTCGGGCAGGCTTCTGAATCCGCCGCCGGAAGCCGCTTTTGTCCCGAAAAAATCTCGCGCACTCGCCCACAAAAAGCGACGATGAATACTGTAGACCGGCCGCCATGCCTGGGCGACGAACGGCCAGCGAATTGCTCGACTTGGCCCTGCGGAACTGGGCGTGGGAGGCGGGTGAAAATGTGTTATTGACAGAATTCAGGAACACGCTAATTATTGTTGCGGCAGTACGTTGATGTGCCGAAAGTGGGGTGGCTCGTCCGGCGGCCGGTTGTAGTGTTGAACCCGGCTGCCCAGATCCGCCTCGCGAAGACCAAAGCAATTCTGTTTGCTCGGCCAATAGCGGCAGGCAATCCTTCCCGCCTGTCCCACAATCTCCATCACGAACGGCTAACTACACGTTTGCGTTTTGCGTTTCGGCCTTTGTCCAAAGGGTGTCGTGTATGTTGTCCTTCCCTTTTCCCGGCCCGGGGTCTGCACCGCATTAATCGCGGTCGTCGATCGGACCTGTCTTGCAGTGGGCATTTTGGTGTGGGGCGTTTTTAAGAGGGGGCCAGTCGGGGTTTCGCGTTGAAACCATTCGACTGCACCTGCGTTGCGACGGGTGCTCCGCCGCTACGGGAATTCGAGTTGAATTGGAGAGACTCACTTGAAGATGGATATGGATACCAGCGCGTACGGTTCGGTTAAGAAATCTTCCCCTCGCCAGGCGGCTTCGCTTGGCCGCACATTGGGCCCGGTTCCCGACTTGGAACGGCACCTGCCGCAAGAATGGTGGCGTACGCTGTTCAATTCGGTGTACCTGAAGACCGATGGTGACGTGGTCGAGAACGACACGGCCACCCAGTACGAGCTGAACGCGATCGTGCAAGCCACCGGATTAGAACCGAACGATCGGGTGCTCGACCTGTGCTGCGGGCATGGTCGCCACTGTTTGGAACTGGCCCGACGGGGCTTTCGCAACGTGACGGGCGTGGACCGCTCGCGGTACCTCATCCGCTTGGCCCGACGGCGAGCCAAGAAAGAAGGCCTGAGCGTTTCCTTCCACGAGGGTGACGCCCGGCGGTTTCGCTTGAAGGACGCCAACTTCCACTGCGCGATGCTGCTGGGCAATTCATTCGGCTACTTCGATCGCGAAGAGGACGACCGCGCGGTGCTCAAGTCGGTGCGGCGTGCCCTGCACGGCGGTGGTTCGATCGTATTGGACTTGGCCGACGGCGACTGGCAGCGCGAGCACTTCGAACCGCGTAGCTGGGAGTGGATCGACCAGAACCACTTCGTGTGCCGCGAACGTTCGCTTTCGGCCGATCGCAAGCGGTTGATCTCGCGCGAAGTGGTCGTGCATGCCGAACGCGGCGTGATCGTCGATCAGTTCTATGCCGAGCGGCTGTACTCCCGCGATTCGATCCTATCGCTGTTGGAAGAATGTGGCTTTGATCAATGTCGAGTGAACGAGTCGATCGTGGCCAACTCCACGCGTCAGCAAGACCTGGGGATGATGGCCTGCCGGATTTTGATTTCGGCCCGTTCGACTCGCGACACGGCCAAGCCAAAGGCCAAGAAACCGCTACTGGACGAAGTGACGGTGCTGCTGGGCGACCCACGTTTGCCCGATAGTTGCAAGCGCGATGCCCAATTCAACCCCGAGGATATGGAGACCATCCAGAAGCTGAAGGACACGTTGGGCGAACTCGAGCAGTTCAAGTTCACCTACTTGGACAACCACGCGTCGCTGGTGAGCGACTTACGGTCCGATCCGCCGAAGTTTGTGTTCAACCTGTGCGACGAAGGCTTCGACAACGACGCCTTCAAGGAGTTGCACGTGCCGGCCATTCTGGAAATGGCGAACATTCCTTACAGCGGCGCCGGCCCTGCCACGTTGGGTCTGTGCTACAACAAGTCGCACGTTCGCAGCATTGCCGACGCCCTGGATGTGCCGGTCCCGCTGGAATCGTTCTTCGATCCCGACGATCAGTCGGCCACGCTACCCTCGGTGTTGCCGGCGTTGCTCAAGCCAAACTTCGGCGACAGCAGTGTGGGCATCACGAAGGACTCGGTGGTCGAAACTCCTGAGGCCTTCATCGGCCGACTGGAAGAAATGCGGGACGAGTTCCCCGGCGTGTCGCTGTTGATTCAGGAATACCTGACCGGCAACGAGTACAGCGTCGGGATCATCGGCAACCCGGGCTTTGGATACCGGTTCTTGCCTGTGCTTGAAGTCGATTACAGCGGACTGGATAAGGGGCTGCCGAAGATCCTCGGTTACGAATCGAAGTGGCTGCCTGACTCGCCGTACTGGACGCAAATCAAGTACCACGAGGCCGACTTGGATGAGGCCACCACGCGACGGCTTTATGATCATTCGAGCTTGCTGTTCGAACGCTTGGGATGCCGGGACTACGCCCGATTCGATTTTCGGGCCGATGCTGAAGGGCAAATCAAGCTGCTAGAAGTGAACCCCAATCCAGGCTGGTGCTGGGACGGCAAGTTCAACTACATGGCCGGGTTCGCAGGTATGCGATATGCCGACCTGTTGGAGGCCATCATCGAGGCCGCCCAGACGCGCTACACCAGCAACGGTAAAGTCCGCAGGTGAGCACGTCGTCGAAAAAGAATCGGACGAACCGGGTAGCGCGTACCGCTCAGAAGCAGCAGTTCCGCTACTCGTTTCTGAAGATTCTCAGCGGGTTCGATCTTTCGCACCGCCGTGTGCCGTACATGCAGGCCGTCAGCCCAAGCCCAGGGCCCACACTCTGGCTGACGGCTTGCTGTCACGGCGACGAGGTCGGTGGGATCGTCGTCGTGCAAGAAGTGTTCAAGCGGTTGAAGAAGCATCCGCTGGTGAAAGGCGAACTGCACGCCTTTCCGCTGATGAACCCGCTGGGGTTCGAAGCCGCCGCCCGACACATCACGCTGAGTGAAGAGGATCTGAATCGGGCGTTTCCAGGGAACGCCTCGGGGAGCCTGGCCGAGCGGATCGCGCATACGATCTTCGGCACCATCACGAAGACGCAGCCCGACCTGGTGCTGGATCTACACAACGACTGGATCCGTTCGATTCCTTACGCCGTGCTCGATCCGCCGGCGCAGACGAAGGCGTCGGAAGCGGAAGCCCAGGCAGAGTCGCTGGCGGCGGCCACCGGTTTTTTGGTTGTGCTGGAGCCGAACCCTTTGCGGAGAACGTTGTCTCATTCTTTACTGCGTGAAGGCATTCCGGCGGTGACGGTCGAGCTGGGCGAATCGTTCGTGGTGAACGAGACAAACGTCGACTTCGGAGCCAGGGCGGTGTTCAACGTGCTCGGGCAACTCGGCATGGTCGAGGAGTGCGAGACGTTTGAGTATCCGCTGCCCGAGGCTCTGCACGACCGGCGGCTGCTGACTTACAGCCAGAACCCAAGCAGCTCGACGAGCGGCATCATTCGTTTCCTGGTCCGTCCGGGGGCGATGGTTCGCCAGGGGCAGCCGGTGGCCAAGATCGTGAACGCGTTCGGTCGCCTGTGCGAAACGGTGGTGGCCCCGCAGGATGCCATCGTGCTGGGGCTTTCCGACTCGTCGGTCGCCTATCCCGGGGCCCCCATAATGGCGTTCGCCACGCTGTAAATTGTTGGTGGATTGGCGGTTTGTCGAATTACGATTGAAGTAGAAGTGCTTGCTGTTTGCCGCTCGAATTGGTGCTCTTCCGTACTCCGATGCTCCCTGCTACGATTCGCCGCCTTGATTGTTGTACCGGTGTAGGAATGCGGAAGAGATGAGCGTAGTTGCGACCCTCGTTCGACCCACTGCGGTGGCGTCTCCTTCGGTCTCCAAGTCGCGTGGGCGTTTGCGAACCGACCTGCGAGCGAGCTGCGGCGACGGTGTGGCCTTCGGCGGCATGGTTGGGTTTGGCGAAACCTACTTGCCGGCCTTCGTGCTCGCCGTGGGATTGGGCGAACTCACCGCCGGGATGGTCGGCAGCCTGCCCTTGGTGGCCGGCGGACTGATGCAAACCGTGTCTCCCGCGGCGATCCGTACGCTGGGTTCGCACAAGCGATGGGTGCTGCTCTGTGCGGCGGTGCAAGCACTCACCTTTCTTCCCCTAGTGCTGGCTGCAGCCTTCGGGGGAATCACCGGTCCGGCCGTGTTACTGGTGGCCGCCATGTACTGGGGTGCCGGTTTGGCAACCGGGCCGGCGTGGAACACCTGGATGGGAACGATTGTTCCGCCCACGGTGCGACCTCGTTTCTTTGCATTGCGCACACGCGGATCGCAAGTGGCGGTCTTCTGTGGGTTTCTGACCGGCGGGCTCGCACTTCAACTGGCCGGCACGCACGATCGGCTCATGCTGGCCTACGGGGCGTTGTTTGCCACCGCGGGCATCTGCCGTTTGGTTTCGGTAGGAATGTTGGCCTGTCAGAGCGAGCCGACTCCGATTCCGGCCAACATGCGGAACATTCCTTGGCGCAAATTGCTCGTTCACCTGGGACAAGGCAGCGGCGGGCGGTTGCTGGTTTATCTCGTGGCCGTGCAAGCCGCCGTGCAGATGGCGGGTCCGTACTTCACGCCGTTCATGTTTCGCAAGCTGGGGCTGAGCTACGGCCAGTTCGTGGCACTGATCTCGGTGGCCTACTTGGCGAAGGTGATTTCGTTACCGCTGTGGGGACAGGTGGCCCATCGGATTGGGGCCCGACGTTTGCTGTGGATTGGTGGGATTGGTATCGCCCCACTAAGCGCCGGGTGGCTCGTTTCCGAGCAGCTTCCCTGGTTGATGTTCGTTCAGATTGTCGGCGGAACGACTTGGGCCGCTTACGAACTGGCGTTCTTCTTATTGTTCTTCGAATCGATCGCCCAAGAAGAACGCACCAGCCTGCTCACGCTGTACAACGTGATCAACACGATGGCCTGGGTTGGCGGAGCGTTGATCGGGGGCACGTTGCTGTACGTGACGGGGGCGACTTACACGAGTTACCTGTGGGTGTTCACAGCTTCGGCCGTTTGTCGGTGCCTGGCGATTTTTCTGCTGGCCCGAATTCCTGCGATGGAAGTGGAGTCGAACGAGATCGGCGTTCGTACGGTCAGTGTGCGCCCGAACTCAGGATCGCTCGATGCTCCTGTGCTGCCGAGCATGCCGGATCAATGCGAAACGGCCGAGGCGGCTTAGTCACGAGTCCAAAGACTCATCTGGCTTCAGCGAAGGCGCCACTGTTAGTTCCTCCAACAGTGCTGGCCGCGAAATCGTTCACTGCTGGGCAAGCCAGCAGTGGCACCCAGGTAAGGTTTTGAACTCATTTCGATAAGTGGGTTCAGGCACCGCGACGGCATTTGCTTGCAGTGTGAGTGGCCGCACTCTATCCTTGCATCCCATCGAAAGGCTCTCGGACTTCTCACCCACCGCGCGCAACGGTCTTCATGCAAACACGCAACGCCCGAATCGGACTGGTTCTGTTTTGCGTGTACTTGCTGCTGTATGGCGGGTTCGTTCTGCTGAATGCCTTCTCGCCCGACACGATGGCGATCAAGCCGGTGGCGGGGATCAATCTGGCGATCCTGTATGGATTCGGCCTGATTGCGGCCGCACTGGTGCTGGCCATGCTTTATGGGTGGCTGTGCAAATCGACGGAGGATGCTGGCGGCGGGGGTGATCAGGCGTGATTTACGAACCCTCGACCGTCGCCGCGGCGGCCTTCTTTCTCTTCGTGGCGATCACGCTCGGACTGAGCTTCTACCTCGGCTCGCGGGCCAAATCCTCGCAGGGCTACTTTGCGGCCCACGGTCAGATTCCCTGGTTCGTCAATGGCGTGGCGTTTGCCGGCGATTACCTGTCGGCCGCGTCGTTTCTCGGCATCTGTGGAATGATCGCCTTCTACGGCTACGACGGTTTCCTGTATTCTATCGGTTACCTGGCCGGCTGGATTGTGGCCCTGTTCGTGGTGGCCGAGCCCATGAAGCGGTTCGGTAAGTTCACCTTCGCCGACGCGCTGGACGCCAAGTTCGGATCGCGAGGGATCAAGCTGGCCGCGGGTGTGAGCACGCTGGCCGTGAGCGTGTTCTACCTCATCCCGCAGATGGTCGGCGCGGGCGTGTTGATTCAACCGCTGTTGGGCTTCCCCCATTGGGTCGGTGTGGTGCTGGTCGGCACGACGGTGATTCTGATTGTGGTGACCGCGGGCATGGTCTCGACCACGTGGGTGCAGTTCCTCAAGGGTTCCTTGCTGGTGGTGTTCAGCGCGATCCTCACGCTGCTGATTCTCGGTCGCGGGTTCCAGGTCGAATCGGGCGGCATCGACGGGTTTCAGTTTCAAACCCTCGGGCCGTACTCGGCCGAGGCGGTGAGCGACGGCTCGGTTGGTCCGGCTGACTCAACGCTGGTACCCAATGAAGGTGCTTGGGCCGAAACCTCTTTCCTGCGGTTCCGCAATAACGAAACGGGTCTCATCTCGGTGTGGAGCACCAACACCACCGATGAAGGCACCACGCTGCGTGAAGCTCAAACTCTGACCACCACGGCAGACGGTGAAGTGCTGGTCAATGGCCAACCCAAGGGTACGAAGAAGGGGGAACCGGAACTGCATCCGGTCGGGTTCCTCAGCCGGCTTCCCAATGGTGAGCAGAAGACGGGACCGCTGGGACCGGTGTCGTTTCTGAGCACGCTGGAAAAAAGCGAAGTCATCCTGTGGGGCTCGCAAGCCGTGTCTGACGCCGATGGCGCGACGACGACCGTTTACTACCAGAAGCCTACGCCCGGCAGTCGTGTGTTGCGGCCCGGCGAACACCCGCGGTTTGCCGGGATTCGCAGCGACAATCCCATCGACAAGCTGAACTTCCTGTCGCTGATGCTGGCCCTGTTTGGTGGCACCGCCGCCCTGCCCCACATTTTGATTCGCTATTACACGGTGAAGGATGAGGCGGCCGCCCGGAAGAGCACGATCGTGGGGATCGCCACCATCGGGTTTTTCTACATTCTCACGCTGTACTTGGGCCTGGGAGCGATGACCAGTGGGGCGCTCGATGTGACCAACAGCAACATGGCCGCGCCGCTGTTGGCGAAGAGTATCAACGAGTGGTTGTTCGCCATCATTTCGGCCATTGCGTTCACCACGGTGTTGGGAACCGTGAGCGGGCTGATTCTCGCTTCGGCCGGGGCGGTGGCCCACGACCTGATGACCAGCGGGTTCGGCATGCAGCTTAGCGATCACGAGAAGGTTCGCGTCGCAAAAATTGCTTCGGTGCTGGTCGGTGCGATTGCGATCGTGCTGGGCATTTTGTTCCAGAGGCTGAACGTGAGTTACCTGGTTGGTTGGGCGTTCAGCGTGGCGGCTTCGGCCAATCTGCCGTCGCTGGTAATGATCTTGTATTGGAAGAAAGTCACCCGACAAGGTGTCATCGCGGCGCTGATCGTGGGCATGGTCAGCTCGTTGGGATGGATTCTGCTGAGTGCCGACACGTTCACCCAGGTGTACGGGCTTCCCGCCAGTTCGGCGTTGGTACCCTTCAGCCAACCCGGCATCGTTACGATCCCGCTGGGGTTCATCACGCTGATTGGTGTCTCGCTGGCGACGCAACCAAAAAGCGGAAACTAAGCCCGGGCTTTTCAAGGCGCGAGCCATCAGTAGGCTATGCTGCATCCATCGCGGGTGCCTGCTCGAGCCATGGGCACCGCTTCACTTGTTGATAACTTGATCGCATTGGCGAAAAGGAGTTTTCCATGTCGAGCTACGTTCGGCACATCGTATTGGGTTCAGTTGTTATTGGCCTGGGGCTCGTCGCATTGACGCAGCCGGCTTGGAGTCTGCAGCAACAGGACGGGCCGAATCGTGATCCGGCTTCGATTCATTCGAATCTCGAGGGCGAGTTTCGCGTGTTTGATCCGGTGAACATTAATGGTCCCTATCCTGAGGAGCCTTACGTCGCGCATCCGGGCGATGTGCTGTGCCTGCAGTTGTCGTATCCCATCAGCCCGCCATTTCCGACGAAGGTGGTAGCCCACTCGAATAACGCGGCCGCCACCCCCATGGGCGAGCTGGCCGTCCGTTCGCCCGGCCGCATCGTGACACTCGCTGCCGGCAAGAAAGAAGAAGGTGTGGTCGGCGTCGGCTACCTAACCGTTCTCGGGCGAGCCTCGAAGCCGGGAGTGGCGACGATTACTTGCGAAGTGAGTTTGGGCGGAGGGAAGACGCTGGAAGTGCCGCTGAAGATTAAGGTGGAAGCTGCGGAGGGGTCGCAGTAGTTACGAGTTGAACGTGTCTTTCAATCTAGCCACTGGACTTCTAGACTCCGCGTCGCTCGTAGCTTCTTCCAAGCTTGATGCCGCCGATAAATGCTACGAACAAGAGTGTGGCAATAATCGAATACCCACCCCAGAACGCGTCAGCGGTGTTGCCCGAGCCGTCGAAGTATTGCCACAATCGCCAACACCCGGAAAGAATCATGTAGCCGAACGTTACCACGATTATTGTTCGAGTGTTGATGAACTCACCCGCTTTTCGGCCTAGCGGACTCGAAGCAAACATTCCGATGGAGACGGCCACGATCATCATCCCCATCGTAAGCCCAAGGGCGATTAGGAATGCCCAGTGAACGGGCTCGTTCGCACCTTGCACGAACAGGTAGCCGGCGAAGAGAAGGAAAGCGATACTCCAGATGAGCTGGTGTCGTTTGGTGACTGGAGCAGTATTGTCCATCGCTGGCTCACTCCACGTTGGCCGTTCTTCGCTTGCAATTGCTGCGAAGCATGTCCAGTACAGCTTAACGGTTTCAGAAGCGAAACACGAATGCCGTAGACCTTCTCTACCCCACGGCCTGCTTTGTCTGCTGGGCGGTGAGTTTGAGGAACTTCTTCAGAATCTCGATTCCGCAGGGGGTGAGGAAGCTTTCGGGATGGAATTGTACGCCGTGTAGCGGGAGTTCTTTGTGGCGGATGGCCATGATCTCGCGCGAACCGTCGGGGGCTTCGCACCAGGCGGCGACTTCGAAGTCGGACGACAAGGTGTCGGGCTTGATAATCAGGCTGTGATACCGTGTGGCCTGGAAGGGATTCTCGAGCCCGGCGAAGAGCCCTTGGTTGTCGTGATGAATCATGTCGGTCTTGCCGTGCATCAGGCGATCGGCCCGCACGATGTCGGCCCCGTGGGCGGCGCCGATCGATTGATGGCCCAGGCAAACGCCCAGCACGGGGATTTGCGATTCGAACCGCAGGATGGCTTCGCAGGAGATGCCGGCCTCGCGAGGTGTGCAAGGGCCGGGCGAAACGATGAGATGCGTGGGCTGCTGGGCGGCGATCTCGTCGAGGCTGACCTGGTCGTTGCGAAACACCGTGAGCTTGATGTTCGGGTCGATTTCGCCGAGCCGTTGCACGAGGTTGTAGGTGAACGAGTCGTAGTTATCGATCAGGACAATCATCGGTTTCACGCGGGGGAAATCATGGAAGGCGGGCAGGCGGGGCGGCTAAGGCCATCATAGTAGTGGCCCGCCCCCAGGCAAAGGTTCTCCCCGGGGTGCGATTTTCGACCCCGAAACCGCGCGTTGCCCTAGCGGTCGCTGGCCCGCAGGGGGTGGAAACGCTCGTCGGGCAGAACCAGCGAGGTGATCCGCAGGCCGAACTTATCGCCAACTTTTACGGCTTCGCCCCGCCCGATGATCTGTTCGCCCACACCAAGTTCGAGCATCTCTTCGCACGACTTGTCGAACTGGATGATCGACCCGGGGTTGAGACCCGTGATCTGTTCGACCGGCTGTTTCTTCGAGGCCAGCGTGACGGTGACCGGCAGCTTGATCCGCAGCAAGCTGCGGGCATAGCTGGGCAGCGTCTTCACTTTCTCAGAGCTGGGCTTGCTCTGTGGCGGATCGACCTTGGGCAACGCGGCGGATTCCAGTGCAGGTTTCGCCTGCGGTTGAGAATCTTCTTCTGCGAAGCCGCCCGAGAGAACGGCTTTCGGGTCGGCCACCGGCCACAACATGGTTAGCGTGCCAGAGCCGTTTGATTCTGAAGCGAGTGTCAGCGACACCAGGGCCGCGTCGTCGGCAGGCTTGCCGGCGGTGAGGGCTTCTTTGGCATTGGCGACATGGACCGCTTGAAAGTCGCTGGCCATCACCGTCTCGGGCAGTAGCAACATCCCGAGTTCTTGGGCCAACGTGGCGAGCTTGCTTTGACCTGTGGGGTCGGGCGAGGCGACCCACGCCGGCAGCAGGCCGGAACTCTCCGGCAACACGGCCACCGCCCCGGCACCATCGACGGTGAAGACGATGAGCAGTGCCGCGCCGTCGAAACCCTTGGGCGAATCTGCGGCTTTGTAGGTGGCCGAACTGCCGACTTCGACCGTGAGCGGTTGATCGAGCGTTCGGGAGAACGCTTCGCCGACTTCCGCCGCACCAGCAGTGCAAGCAGCGACGACGTCTTCAGCAATTTGAGGCCCAAACTCCGCCATGTGCATCCCTGCGGCGTGAGGTGAAACGTGGTGACAAGCTGAATGGTTCTGGCCACGTCCGCAAACCAATGTGGCAATGCGGGCGCAGCAAAACACACAGTGTTCCTATCGGGCGATGTGCCCCTCAAACTTTGCCCAGTCGGCGGAGATTGTCGCTGGAGTGCGGGCGACGGTTCCCCTCCGGCGGGCTGCTACTACCGTTCACTCGCGGGTTTTAGCCGGTATAATGCAGTGCTTGCCCTTCTGAAGACTTTTCCCACCCAGGGGGTGCGGCATGTGGGGATGATCTGCGACTGTCTGAGGGTCCCCCTTGCGAATCACCCTAAAGGATCAACGCTGTGAGTAGCCCGGTTCAAACGACCGACTCGGCCTTCGAGTTGGCTCCGTATAAATCGCTCGATAACGAGACCCTTCGCGATCGCATTCAGGCGGTGCGTAAGCAGATGGGATCTGAGCTGTTGATTCTGGGCCACCACTACCAGCAAGACGAGGTGATCGAGCTGGCCGACCTGCGGGGTGATAGCTACCAGCTCAGTCGTTCGGCGGCCGAGAATCTCGACTGCCGGGTGATCGCCTTCTGTGGCGTGCATTTCATGGCCGAAACAGCCGACATCGTGTCGAACGCCCCCGGGCAGCTTGCCAAACGCGATGGACAGCGGGTGAAGGTGATTCTGCCCGACATGGCAGCCGGATGCTCGATGGCCGACATGGCGATGATCGAACAGGTCGAATCGTGCTGGGAAGAACTCGGCGAAGTGATCGACACTGAAGACATCACGCCGGTCACGTACATCAACTCGGCCGCCAGCCTTAAGGCTTTCTGTGGACGGCACGGCGGAATCGTCTGCACGTCGAGCAATGCGGAGGCGGTGTTGAAGTGGGCCTTCAAGCGGACTTCGCGGGTGTTGTTCTTTCCCGACCAGCATCTGGGGCGCAACACGGCCCGGGCGATGGGAATTCCGCTGGACGAGATGCCGGTGTGGGATCCTTATCAAGAATTGGGCGGTCAGGATGAAGCGGCGCTGGAGAAGAGCAAGGTGCTGCTATGGAAGGGTCACTGCAGTGTGCATCAGATGTTCCGCGCGGAGCATGTGGATCAGTTCCGCGAGCGGTACCCCGACGTGAAGATTCTGGTGCACCCTGAATGCACGATGGAAGTCGTCGACAAGGCCGACATTCAGGGCTCGACCGGTCGCATTCTTCGCGAAGTGGAGCAAGCCCCGCCGGGCACGCGTTGGGCGATTGGTACTGAATTGCACCTGGTCAATCGGCTGAAGCAGGAACATCCCGAGCAGTCGATCGATTTCCTCTCACCGGTGGTCTGCATGTGCGCCACCATGTATCGTATCGACTTGGCGCACTTGTGCTGGTCGCTGGAGAATTACGCCGCTGGTACCCCCGTGAACCTGATTCAGGTTGACGAGGATACCAGCAAGTGGGCGTTGGTCGCGCTGGAGCGGATGCTGGAAGTGTCGTAGCGACGCGCGGCCGGAAGTGTTTGTTGTTGTTCTCGCCGTGTTTAGTTCGGGCTATCTGCGAAGCGGACTGAATATTGCCAGCGGATGGTCGCGGGCAGTTCGGTCTCAGTGTTTTCCGGCCCAATCCATACGCGATTGTCTTCTAGCAGTTCGACTTGGGTTGAAAACTCTTCGTGCGGCGTAAGCTCGACGGTCTTTCCGTCTGCCGATTGAATGGCAAATGCGCCGTCGTTGCCCTCGGAGATTTTCGCATCGCGAAGGTGATAGGTACTGCCTAACTGCGAGGCCGTATGACGCAGTCGGCAGGCAATGTCGAAGTACAGACGATTGCGATCGACTTCCACACTGGCCGACCAATGACTGGTGCCGGCCATGCCGACTAGCAAGGCAACCTTTTCACTCGAACCGCGGGGCTCGATTTCGAAATCTTGTAAGGGTGGGCTGTCGGGCCAAGGCACGTCCTCAGCGCTTTCGACCGACTCCAACAAGGTGGTATCGCCACTTGAATCTACATACAGAATACGATGCGCGTAGCGATCACCTTGTTTTTCGTAGGCAATCCGCAATGCACCGTCGCCTAATACGATGTCTGAACTCAACGCTTTTCCCCTGACAAATAAAGAGTTCGTGTTTTGCGAACAATCCCTTCATGACAGTGCCCCTGTCTGAAAGCATCGA